CCTAAATTTCTTATTTTTTATTTAAATTTTTAAATTCATTATTTAAATAACATGCCTGGTACAAAATGTCAATATGTGGGATGTTTAAAAACCACTGTAAAGTTTCCCCAACTGCATATGTTTCGTTTCCCAAAGAACGAAGCACAACAAGAAACATGGTTAATGAATTGCGGTAAGCTCCAAAATAATATTTTTTTCAATTATTACATTTTAATATACACTTAAAATAAAATTATAGGAAACACACAATTATTGTCACTTGACAAATCCCAATTGTACAATCGTTACATTTGTCAGGAGCATTTTGGACCAGATTCATTCATGAATTCTGAAAAAAAAAAATTAAAGCCACTTTCTGTACCATTAAATTTCAACTCTGATGAGCGTCCAAGTGGGTCAATTGGTAAATATATTTTATATTTAAAAGGTTTTGGGTAATAATTAATTAAACAATAAATTACAATATATAATATAGGTAATGTTTACATAAAATAATATAATATTCTAAACAAAAATAATTAAAATACAAAAAAAAAAAATTCCTCACATTAACTATTTTTTTTAGGAAATGATAATATAATACCCTCTGATTTCATGTTGACTCCAACAAAATGCTTGACTCCAACTAAAACGTATGCCAATATAAAGAATAATTCAGAAGGTGAAATACTATTTTCAAGTCCACCGTTAAATATTTTTACACCAACACAAAGATGTAGAATCAACAATTTAATTGAAATGCCAAGCCCTACTTCTATTAGAAAACGTAACCTTCAAGATGATTTAGATTCACCAATAAAAAAAAAATTAAAAACAAAATTGATAAATAGCACTAGAAAGTTGCATAGTAAGGTTACCATTATTTCAAAAATGAAAAAAAAAATAGTTACATTAAAAACAAGAAACACATTACATAATATACTACACTCACATAAATTTCCATCCAAAAACTCAAAAGCACTAGTCACAATGCAACTGAAAAGTAAAAAACGCCCATGGACAGAGGACGAAAAGAACTTTGCTCTTTCTTTATTTTATAAATCGCCAGCCGCATATAAATTTTTAAGACTTCAAAAAGTAAATTTACCAGCTCCTTCCACAATCCGTAATTGGATTGGAGAATCTAAATTTTTACCAGGCTTTAACAGATCATTTTTAGAACATATAAAAAAAAAATTGAAGCTAAAAGTTACAAAGAAAAGGCATGTAGTGTTTTATTTGATGAAATTTCCATCAAAGAGTTTTTGGAATATTCTAAACAATACGACTTTGTAGAAGGTTTTGAGGATATTGGTAAAATTGGAAGAGGAAATAAAACTGCCAATACAGCACTTGTTTTTATGGTTAGAGGCATATATTCATCTTGGAAATTTCCTATTGCTTATTTCCTAGCTCATTCTGCGGTGAAATCTAAAACGTTGAAAACATTAATAGTTGATGTTATAAAAGAACTAATAGGTGTAGGACTTTGTCCAAAATTAACAGTCTGTGACCAAGGAACGAACAACCAAAGTGCTCTTAAATTATTGAATGTAAGTGAAGATAAGCCTTATTTTTTTATAGATGAAAATAAAATATTTGCCATTTTTGATGTCCCCCATCTTGTTAAGAGCATCAGGAACAATTTAATAGGTAGTGTTTTTAAAAAAGATGACAAAGAAATTTCTTATACTGATATAATTGATACTTATCAAGTGGACAAAAAAAATAAAAAAAGTAGGGCTCTATTAAAAATAACTGATGCACATATATTCCCTAATTCTTTCCAAAAAATGAGGGTAAAATTTGCCACTCAAGTATTTAGCCATTCAATGGCATCAACAATGCGGACGTGTATACAAACAAAACAATTACAAAATAAAAACGCACAAGATACAGCAGATTTCGTAGACTTCATGAACAAACTTTTTGATTGCTTGAATAGTAGAACTCTTCTAAGTAATAATCCATATAATTGTGCTCTTTCGGATGTGGGAAAAGTGAAACCTTTTTTAATGAAAGCTTCAACATATTTCACAAATATGCATAAATATAAAAAAGGAAAGATGTCTCGTCCTCCCTGTTTCAATGGAATTACACAAACCATTAATGGAATATTGAATCTATTTGAAGAAGAAAAACAAAATGGTATTTTGTTTTTACTTACCAACCGCTTCAATCAGGACATTTTAGAAAATCTCTTTAGTATTTTCCGTCAAAAAGGGGGGTACAACAAAAATCCTACTGCTAGGACTTTGAGAACATCGTTTCGAAGTAATTGTATTTTTTCATTGGTCACTTCAAAAGGAACTAACTGCAAAGCAAATATAGAAGATTTGGATGAAATTCAGTTGCAAGAACAGGTTAGCTTAGTCGTTGAATTACCTCCTCAAGATCCACTATCATCATCATCATCATCATCGTCTTCACCAACACCATCAACATTATCGTCACCTACGCCATCATCATTATCATTGTTGACATCAACATCTTTAAATAATATAGAAATTAAAGAAGAAGAACCGATAACATTAGAAGATTGTTCAGTATTATACTTTGCAGGATATTTGGCTCATAGATGTATTGCACAATTTAACTGTACAAATTGTATCAATTATCTGTTGACAAACAAAAACATTGACGATAAAAACCAATTATTATTATTAAACAAAAATTATACTTATTTAGAAATTCAAAACGATATAGGATTGAAAGCACCATCAAAAGATTTTAATAATATAATAAATAAAGCTCTTACTATTTTTGAAGATAAAATTAAAAATATTTTACATAAAAAAAAATAAAATCAAAATTGATGTCAATTTTTTATAAGGATTTTGTTATTAATAAATGGATTGATGATGAAAATATAATGTGTAAAGAACATAAAATATTTATTTTAGAAAAACTTTTGATATGCAAAATTTTTAAAACAGCTAAATTATTTTCAACAACATCAACCCAGACAAAAATAGCTAAATTAAAAATTTTAAATCATATTTAATCCAATTTTATTTTCATAAATAGTTTTTAAATTTATATTTTTATTAATTTTGACAAATTGATATATTAATTATGTGTATTATATAATCAATGATTATACCTATAAACTATTGAATTTTATATTTTAATTGAAACATTATTATTATTAACATAACAGTATTATAACGTTTAGTGAATTTTTCTTACTTACCTCTCAATTTTATTTATATTACCTGTTATTACTATTATTTTATACATTACAATATTATGACATTTATGGAGTTATCACATGAACAATTTATTAATATTTAATGATTCAATAAAATTTAATGGACCAATTTATTATTATTTGATTATTAATTTTTTAAGCTACCTATTCTATTAGCTCACTATTGATTCATTAAAATATGTTTAGTAATTGTTCATGCAACCCAGCATTAGTGTAGATATTATTTGTTAACCTACTAAATTGTATTTACATTTATATAAATTGTTGACAATTTTAGGACAAATTGTATTTTATATGTTAAAAAAATTTTTATTATAATTTAAATGAAATAATTAATTTGATTCAAATATACAAAATATAGGTACCTATATATAGTGAATAGTGATTCACTCACCTTATACAAGAAAATTCCATTCAATAACTCACTATTGATGTATTGATTTATGTTCTTTAATGTTCAAGTTACAACAGTCTACAGAATATGAGTATTTCCTATTTAGTTTATAAATTATATTTTGAAGACAGTCAGTAAACTCGTGGCCCGTGGTCTGTTGTATTATATAATAATATAATATTAAATTGTCATCAATGGTTATACCAGGTTATACCATTGATATCATTCAATATATTAATTAATAGTGGTCACAAATGCAACAGCGACATCTCGTGAAAATAAATTCAACTATAATTCTAGTCAACGAATATTCCTATGGCATTGCTTATCTGTGTATTATATAATCAATGGTAATACTTATAATATAGTAGTTTGTATAGTAGGTAATTTTAAACTAACTGTTACTTATAGAAATAATTTTTTAATAAATTTATGTTACAATTTGTTATCATTATATATTACAACTATACATTTTAAATTAGTTATTTTTCTCAGTCAATGTACCCGATCTCTAAAAATTACAGAATGATAAACAAAGATTTTAGAGTATTATTATTATCATTACGAGTAGATTACCTATACTTATTATATTACTATATTAGGTATACGTTAGGTATACCTACTACAAAGATATTATTAATTTAAATAAATATTTGTAATTACTTATTTTCATATTTTAATATAACATTAACAGTTGAACTTAAAAAATAATACACGGTAAATTAATATTAATTTAATTGCGCTGTATTTATTTTATTTACCATTTATTAGATTTTACTTTAAGTATTATATTTAAATAAGTAATAATTCAATAACTTCAAATCAAGCTATGTTATAATACAGTTTCTACGATCTATATGTTGGGACATAAATTTAAGTAAACAGTATCTTAATTTATAATCTGTAGTTCTTAGGTACGCGAGGGTATTGAAAATATTACGGCGGCATTTGCGTATAATGAATTATATAATGATACGAATGGTACTGGACGAACGTTCATAGACAAATAAACGGCGCTCCCGAAGTCCCGAACGAGCACTCGTCGCCGCCGTCGGCCGGTTGCGAATAGTAGGCGTGACTTAAACGCCGCGCGCTTGCGGATCGTGAAAACACCTAACAGCGCATCCTCTCGGTCGTTGCATGCGTACAGCTTTGGGTGACACGTCCTCTTAAGGAAGTGGTCTTCAGAAATTTGATCTTCTCTTGACATAGTTGTCACACTAGGCACTTCTTAAATTTTCCAAAAGTTTTGAACATCTAAAGTAGATAGAACTTCTGTAGTGTGACAAGTGACGTTTTCAGTTGTGGTTTCCGTAAGTGGTAGTTCATAACCACCAACAAATAATCCATCCTAATTCAGTGTTCTCGAGTGTAGACCAACCTTTGTTTTCGCATGACTGACCGTGTGACTGATATCTATAGCAGCCTAAAGAACAACTCAGCACCAATTAACAGACCAATCTTACATGGCTTATAGAATGTTGGGTGGTCTAAGGGTAGATTATTTATATGTTTCCATTCAGAGATATCTATTTTATTTGTAGGCATGTTTATTGTACTTTTAGGTGTAATCAGAGTATTTAATTTGTATTGTTTTGATGTACAAGATGAGATTTCAAATATTGTTATCTCCCGCACACTTTTTGTAGTGTTAGATATATCATCTATGATTACATTATGCTTCTGGCGTTTAAAATGTAGACTTTTTGACAATGCTGATGATATGAAGTGAGACTGGGAACCATAATCTAATAGCGAACGACACATTTCTGTCTGACCATTAGTACCATGTAATTGTTGATTGAGTAGTGTCATGATGAACCACAACATTGTTAGCCATCTCTGTTGAGATAGCTTGAACCTCTTGCTCACCCGAAGCCTTATTTGTAACCATTGGTTTGTCACTAGTGATATTGTGATGTATGATCTGATGTTATATGAAGAAGAATATGATGTTTTAATTTACATAACTTACATACCTTGATACTTGAACATTGATTTGTATGATGAGAGTACCATAGACAATTTAAACACAGTTTTGCTTTAATGATTAGTGTTTTACGGTCCTTAGGTGTAGCTTGCATGAATATTGGACACTGATATATAGAATGGTAGCCTTGAGCACATACTGGACAAGATTTATTTCCTTTACCAGGTGATGACTCATTTGTTAGCCCAGCATGTGTAGTCATCCGCGTAATTTGTTTACCTTTAAAAGTACCATTAACTTTTAGCTGTACAATATAAAATGCAAAATATGCAATTTTTAATGAACATATATAAATTCTGCCATGATGCCAACTCGACTTACAGCCTTCTATTTCCCAGGTTTGTGGTATGCTATTGGTTATCCGTTTGATACAATATATACTAAAATTGCATCCCAATGTTTTACTGGAAGTTCTAGTACCTTAAGAGCTTATAAATATTTTCTAGTAAAGTCCAACAGATTTCTTAAAGCGTTCACTGATTTACCATTAATGACAGGTTGTGATAATAAGTAGTTTAAATGTTTTTGTACAATGATACGTTTATTATCATACCGATTAATGAGTAGCAACCATGCTTCCTTATAGTTTAGAGCAGTTTATGATAAGGTTACAATGACTTCCGTAGACTGGTTAGGTCATGGGTGGAAGTTTTATCAATTGATGTACATTTCTGTCATGTGGTAATGTTTTTGGTTTAGTGTCTTCTTCTGATCTGTGTATATTTGCTAAAAAAAATTGGTTTAGTATGTGCATAAATGTCACTTATTTCTTCCAATACGTCTTCTATGTAAGTATCAATCTTCTCATCTTCAGCAGTCCACTTAAGTTTCTCAAACTCTTTATTATAGATCTCGAATGCTTGTTCTAACAATTCTAATTTAACTTTTGTTTGCTCTGAGCTTAATTGAGACACATTTTCAGCGGAAAGATGATCCCTCTTCTTTACGATGAGCTTGTATTTGTTACTTAACGTTTTAGCTGGCATGACTGTAAATCGAGCTGTAAATGTAACTTCGTGTATCAGGTATACATAAAAACAGATGAAAATGGATGAAAAACTGATTTGATTGAACTAAAATGTCTTGCATAAATCCTTTAGTTTTATAATTCTTTTTATAAATACGTATACATGATTTTTCGTTAACTGACTGAACTACAGCCAAAATGTGTTTTATTGAGCATATTGACTGATAGTTATAATAATGATAATATTATATAATACGCTAACATAATAATTGATAATTACAAATGATAACAGAGTAGTGGACTGTATAGCGTATAAATGAAAAATGTCCAAACACCAACGACTCTTTGCTTTAAATCTTATTATCATATTACTTTTATTTCAAACAGTTATGAATGCAGAGCACGAAAATGAATCATTGAACAGTGAGTTTATACAATTATCATTACAGTACCTAAATTACCTTCAAAGTCCTCTACTAGGTACATCCCTATACGGCTATACTCATTTTCAAAACAATAATAATATACCTGTCGCTGACCAATTTATGTCTGGTGGAGCTCATTCCCCACCAATTTTTTATTGTTAGAGTGATCACGTGGTTCTAGACGCACCAATCGAATCATCCAACATGTGTGAAAGTGGTATATTCTCTTTTGAAAAGGAGTCTACATTCCGTTAACTGCTGTAATTAATGTGTGTGGTTGATTATCAGAAAAAATTATCCATTCCAATGACTCTTGGCTAATTGTATTATCATATTACTCTTATTATAAACAGATGTGAATACAGATAATGAAAATAAACTATTGAACCGTGAGTTTTTACAATTATTATCCCAGTACCTAAATTACTTTCGTAGTCCGCTACTAGACACATACCTTTTACTTACGGTTATTTGCTGTAATTAACTCGTGTGGTTGATTGTCATGAAAATTAACTATATCAACGACTCTTGTCTAATTGTATTATCATATTACTCTTATTACAAACAGATGTGAGTGAAGTTAACGAAAATACACTATTGAACCGTGAGTTTTTACAATTATTATCACAGTACCTAAATTACCTTCGTAGTCTTCTAATAAACACATACCTTCTCTTTTCGGTTAAGAGGACGTGATACCCGCATATGTTGTCTCCGTCTTGCAAGTGCATAACATAGCAAATTTTACGCTCAGAAAAACACGTGTAGCTCTGTTAATTTAAAAATTAGAGTAAATTAACCTCTTATAAAATCTAAAGGTAAGATTATTACCTAGACAACCTTATGAGTTTTTCATAATATTTTATTTTTGAGCTAGTTATGAGTATTTTAAGATCAATAAGCAGTTTACAATTTTAAAATACTCATAGCTCGCTTAAAGCTTAAAATATAATAAAAAGCCCACGAGGTTGTCTAGATAATAATTTGAACTTTAGATTTTATAAGAGGTCATATCACTCTAATTTTTAAACTAACAGAGCTACATGTGTTCTGCTTTGGGTAGAATTCGCTATGTTACGTACCTACTTGTAAGACGGAGACAACACATGCGGGTATCACGCCCTCTTAATGTTATGGACCCAAATAGATAAAGAACCCAATAAAAATAACAATTATTTGCTTCTGACTGTGTCCTTTATGCATTCCTAAACCATTCATCCAATTGCGATGCAATTTGGTGCAGTGATAGATTATACCTTGGGAAAGAAAATAGGATACATTTTGTCCCGGAAAAAGGTAAATAAGAGGTCAAACGCTCTCAATCAGTGATTTTGGATTAATATTATTGTTGTTTAAAAATTGTGGCTATTGGTTTTAATAAAAATAATATTTATTATAATTAATGAGATAAGACTGTGGGTTTTAGTACAGAATGTATTGAATTCGGACCACAGCCTCGGTGGACCAACTTTTTTGCATTTTTTGATACTTTAGAGTCAAACTATACACTTATGTACTCATCACACGGGGTCTACGATCCACCGCTGGTAGATTGATTATCTGATAATATTATAACTACTCGCATAGTCACAAAAACCTAGAAATAGCATGGAATTGCCGTGTCCAGCAAGTATCCACTATTATCAACAATAAAGAATATAGATAGTGTTCTTAAATACACGTCATGCACGTGTAGTTATGACTAAATGAATATCAATGCAGGTGATTCAGTTTAATAGAGCATGAATTATATATGAATCTCTTTATCAAATGTTCTCACGGCGTTATTATAAGTAGATATTTTTTTTAAAAATATACAATATACATATTACATATCATTATATCATACACATACCCATATATGCATTTATCTCATAATATTATTCGCAAGACAAATTCATTTTAATTTAGAATGTTTATATTTAGATAAATTACAAAGTTCGTAATATTATTGATAAAATTATGACTTATATAAAAATACAATATTGACACTGTTGTCGATTGGAAAAGATTTTCCGATTTTCCGATTTTTTTTACAAAATAATAAGTAAATTTATTGAAAAATATTCTAAGTGATTTACCATATTATAAATTATGATGGCTGACGTGAAAATGATAGCTCATATTCTGTAAATTCACGTCTGCCTATGACCGAGTATATGATCTCTCTTTATACTCCAAGTATCCCAATTGGAGATCACCTAGTGGTAATTTGGCAATGACACAAATAATGTTATATCACGATAAGTGTGATAAATGATGATAAAATTATATTTAGTTCGAAGAATCGGGATCTAAAGGATAACGCATAACCGCATATTCCCAAACACAAACATCAAACTCCACTATCTATATAATAAATCTTCATTCACGCTTGAAACTTCTAGGTACTAACGTAATTACATGACATCCCTATATTGATTGATTTATACTAAATTAATGGCAGTTTGCTAGGTGTCGCTTGAGTATGCACAGAATTGGTGTGTTCCCTCGCTGGATAGACTATTGATATAGTCTACAACGAATATCGATGTAATTTCTCCTTTGTTTTATAATTATTAAGTATACCACTTAGAGTGGAAAGCAGGTGACATAACACAGAGTTAACGTATAACGTCTGTCTATAGTACATAATAAATAATAATATAATATTCAATAAATGTTTATTTCATACAATGTTGCGGTGGTTCACGTGTGCAGATGATCGTCATGATTATGCAATTATCAAAGCGGCTTTTGTCAAATTTTTAGAACATGTGAAGGATGTGTACAAAAAGGAACGATATCACGGTAGTTTTATAATTATTACGATAGTACCTAAGTTACCTACATAAAACAATTAAGTTGTGTTTTATATAGATGGGAATATTTTTATCATTTATCTAATCCAGATAAATGGAAAACATGTCATCCATGTAAGATAAATAATTGAATCATCTTAATAAAATTAATGTTATAAATGTTAATTAAGTACCTATTTGATGATCCTATTACGAAAAAGTAAATTTATATTTATACTTAAACTTTAAACAGTGTTTATTTCACACCTCATATATCGGGTTGACCATACATTTTCAAAGGGGTACGTCATAGGAGTAAATAATTCAATATTGAAGAGTAGTAAAAATATCGTTTTAAGCTCAATTTATTAGTATTAGATAGATACCTACGAATACATACATAAATTCTGAAACATTCCTGGTCAATAATTCTTCATAATATGAAACAAAAAATGTAATTGACATTTGGTAACATTAATCCATTCTGAGCTTAAGTCATATATATTTCTTAATTTCATTATTTATGAGTAGTATTCATCCTAAATATTGTGAAATTGCCATCTACTGTGTTTCGTGGATTATATTAAACGACATGTTCGTGTATATACAATTGTTGATTGCCTAAAACTGAAAGTTGATTTAAATAGATTTTCTAATTGAGTTGAGCAGTTTGGTTTATACCCAATTATTTAAAAATTTTAGGTTATGACTTTTAAGAGGACTCATTCTTTAATAGTTTTCTCTAACTGTCTGGGTGAATCACCAATTAAATACAAATACCAACACCGAATACGTGTTGTAGATGATTTCGTAATTTACCTAGGATTTAAATTCAACCATAGCCTTAACCTGATTATGTTTGATCTCAAGGTTTTTAAGCCCTTGGGTTCATAATGTCCAAAGACTTCCATTCTGAATTTGTACATCCTTATCTCTTTGCTTCATTTTAAAGTTCCACAGGGCTCCTGATGGTCCGTCTGTACTAATATGTATGCATTATTGCAATGTTTCTTGTCCCATTCGATTTCTTATTTTATTCATAATCATATTCATCGTACTGAGAGAGCTCACAGTGACCTTTAAAACTGGTACACATATAATTATTTTTAGCTACTTTTTTCAAATTTGCATACCCTATATTTGCTCTATAAATATTTGACAGTGGAATTTTTATGTTTTCTTTTGCCAAACTATTTGCAGCATACTCAAATTAATGCAGTTTTTATCCAAACTTTGGTTGATTAAAGACTAGGAAAGTACCTATAAACAAAGGTTCGATAGATCTTCTTCAATGATTATAATTAAAAGCTCTTTAATTAATTATTTTTAGTTATTTTTTTTTTAAACTTAATTGCATTTGTTCTCTCATTGTATCAACACATGTTTTTGTTTTGTTTTTAGACTTTACTTTATTTTAATTTTCAACTATTTGTCGTGAACTACATAGGTACACATATTTTCAATGTACCTATTTTACATTTGTGAAATAAATAAAATTACCCTCGTAATTTGATGAATGTTGATCCTGGATACTTTAAACTTACAATGGATAGCTGTACATTTTCTTTTTTAAAACTTTGCTTAAATTATTGACTGTACTTAAGCCTCATCTAGGATAAATTAAGTTATTGGAAAAATTTGATTTGGTGATTTCTAACAGAAAACTTTCTGCTAATTGACAAAATCTGCTCAATATGTATGTATTCATATGCCAAAATAATCGATCTACAATACTCTTTGGCTACATTAATATGTCGATGATTACTTAACCAACAGTATCAATATTTTCTGGTATTTTCAATTCAAGTATGTAA